ACCACCCCCAACAAGAGTTTGCTGTGACCCCAGGGCCCGCAAAGCATATCTGATCACAAAAATGTATTTGAACCACTTACCCGTTATTAAGAAGCAAAAATAAAGAATTGCCCATGTTTCTAAATAAAATTATTTATGAGGTGGAAAAAGAAATTGTAATAGAAAAGAACAAATTTGACTCCATATTAGATGTGTTCCTTTGTCTTTAAACCTGTGCCCTGTTTTCTAGGCTCAGACTAGCTATCTCTACGCCTTTTGTAAAAGAAAGTTGCCTTTAGCCTGAAATATCCAGAACAGCTTATTCTCCGGGCTCTGATCTTTAAGGATGTTAGCTCTTCTGCATGTATGTAGAGATGGCACATTGCAAAATAGAGAATAAACGTTTTTTTAATTGGCGGTTTTACAGAGGCACCATGATTTGACCTACATGGATAGCTGCAAGAACAAAGGATTCCAAGGACAAACAATTCGTACAGCAAGAAGTTTTCAACAACCAACCACACCCACGCCCCTTTTTAGTATAAAAGGAGACTGAATTCTGACTTGTGGAAGAGGGTTCTCCAGGATATCAGTATGCCATCTTCTGAGTCTGCCAGCTTTTCAAATAAAGTCACTATTCTTTGCTCCAACACCTCATTTCTTGATTTATTGGCCTGTCATGCCGCAAGCAGAACGAGTTTGGACTTGGTAACAAAATGACTGCTTTGGTGGTTGTATGCCTCCACTGTTTCCTCATTTCCAATATGTCACAACCTATCAATTTTATATGCTGATTAACAACACACCCAAAAAACCTATCATAGGGAATTGATTCTACAGAAATAAAGTTATTTCTACTCCTTCAAAACTTTTTTATTTTCTATTTTATTTTGTTTTGCTTATTGAAAAGAAAATATAAGTGAAATCCTTTTATTTCACGTATTTTTGTTACAGCTACATATTTCATATACTACAGAAAGATTTAAATTGCATTAAAAATTGTTCATATATTAGTATAAAGATATATACACAATCAATGTGGATTAGGAAAGGAATGGATATTTACTAAAAATCCACTGCACATCCAGTTTTTTACAAGCATATCCTGGAATATAAGCTCTATTATCCAGGGGTCCCCCACCCCCTTTCTCACTGCCGATTGCCTTAGTAATCAACAACCAAGGCACCATCATAAAACCACGCGATCAGTATTTTAGGTATAAATGAGGGAATTAGCTCATTCAATTCTAAAACAAAAACCTTAAAATAAATACTGAACTTATTTACAGAAAAAGAAAATTGTACACAAAAAAGTAGTTTCTTTCCCAAAGTCACTAAGCTAATAACTGGCAAAGGCAAGATTTGAGCTCAACAGCCTGATTCTAAAAACTAAGGTGGAAATCACATTTGATTGTGGAGGGTCCAGCATCGCAGCCTATCACCCTATCTTTGTTCAGATCTAGCCTTAGACAGCCTGAGGCAGCACCCCATTCCTATGGAACTCGAGGGCTAATGATAACACAAAGGATTTTATATCCAGTAGTTTGTTAAGTGTCATTTATTTAAAGTGTCAGCAGGTCAGCAGAAAAAACTCTGGGAAATATGAGTGGGTCCAGAACTTTTTGCTGATTAGAAACTCTATTTATCAGGACAGAGTGACCTTCCCATGAGAGGCCACATGGATCTAAACTAAAGGCAGGTGAGCAATGATAACTAGCAAGACCCTGGAACTCAAGCAAGAAGGATCCCTGCCATCCCCTGCCCAGTTGCCTCTTCACCCGCGTGGACACGATGGCAGAAGATCCAGTTTCTTGTCCAAGTTACACTATCATGGATTCTCACCCATTAACAGTTACGACTCTATGCTGTCTTAAGTACTTCCCAACTCAAATATGATGACACAAGTGTCTCAGCAGAATGTCTATATCTCCACTTCCTCTTTTCTATTAGGAGAATAATTCTATGGCCACAAAGCAGAAATCCAACTTAAAACACCATGCATGAAGCTGGGTGAAAATCTGCGTAAGACACTGCTCTCATGGTCAGTGAATGAAAACTCAGAATAAGTGGTTCTTCTCCCTCAGTAAGTGGGAGGTAGCCTGATTGTGTGTGTGCGTGTGCGTGCATACGTGTGTGCGTAAATCAAATACAATGAATTCTGGGATGTGTAAAGATTTTCTTTATGTTACTCTCATTTCATGAGGATGAGACAACCTTGAAAGTAATTTGAATCTAGTGTTCTGAGAGAGTCTCAGGCTCTTTTGGTGGAGAAGGGGAAAGGGGAAAGAAAAGGAGGAAAGAAGTAAATGAAGCTAAGGAGTAAGAATACTGCTAGGGAAAGGCAAGATATTAAATTTGTTCCTACTTGCATCACATACAAATTAGGGACTGGCCTTCCCCCCCGATGTCTTGTCGAGCACTGAGTTGCAGAAGAAGAGGCGACAGCCCATTACTCACTGAACTTGTGACAGTATGTGTCATCTTATAGACACAAATCATTTACCCTGATCAAACACTCTAGCAGCAGGCCGTAATTCTCCTATTTTGAGAGACAAGAAAACAGGAGTTCAAAGCGGGTATATAATTTGACAAAAGTCAGAGGACCAATAAACTAAAGAGGATGAATTCAAACTCAGATCTGAATGCAGAGTCTGCTCTTCTCACTCCCAGGACTGGAAAATCCTTAACACACAGGCTCCCCAGCTCCCCTGCAGTGTTCCTGGCACCAAGCATTTCCCATGGCGATGGTCTCCAGTTCTCGCAGACGCAGTGCTCTGTGCAGCCAATAACATCCATCGGACCTTGTTCATCTACCTGCCTCGCCCACCAGGCTTCACCATAAAAGCAGGAAAGCTGGCTTTCAAGTGCATACAAAGCCATCCCTGGTCTAACCTGGGCTCTTCTGAGGCCTCTCTAGCCTAAAGGCAGCCATGATATATGTCCATGAATGACTGAAAAATTGTGCTGAATACTGGAATTTGACACAACATTGTAAAATGATTATAAATCAATAAAAAATGTTAAGAAAAAGGCAGCCATGAAACTGCTCACAGTTTGCACATGAGCCACAGTACCTCTCTCCATCTGTCTCCCCACCTGTACAACTTAGCTATGACCATTTTGATAATCTTGGAAACAAATTTTTTAAAACAGAAAAGAAA